TTATGGGCTAAAATTTGCCCAAAACCACACACATAAAACAGCCATATTGTCCTTTAATTTGAAACAGTATTCACTTGCTCTTGTTTAGTTTCACTAATTTAAGATCAATATGTTTGATGCTAATGCCAGTACAATATCTGAGTTTCAGTTCCAATACTAAAACAATCCTTTCTTCAATATCTGAGCAATATAAACTTGTTTCTCTACAAACCACTGAAAAAAAGCCATAAATGTCAGATGTGAAACATTGTCACAAACACAAGCAGCTGTATAAAATACAGCCCAAAACTGAAAAAAAAAAAATATATTAAAAATATTTTAAATCATTAAATATCTAATCAAAGAATAAGCAAACAGAATTATGAATCCTACCCAACATTCAATGCCATTTTCAGTCAGTACTAAAAAGGTTTTGAGGTTCGGCACACAGTCCTTTTCAGATAACCATACCAAAACATTAATTGAAATGGAGATATAATCAACATTTTTGTCTCTTAAGACAGACTAGCTATTTTTTTTGTGGACGTAACTATGTATTTAGCTAACTTCCCCAATCCTGACTGCAAATCTCCGATGGGTCGCCAGCTGGTGGAACCAGATCTATCTGCGTCACTGAAAAATATATACATATATGTGGTCTGGGACCAGGTTAATCACAACAGCCTCCACTCTACTGGTATCAGTCTTTTCACCAGATGTTGAATCTGGCTGCAGGGATTCGCTCCCATTCGGCCACAAGACCATTAGTGAGGTCCCACACTGATGATAAGGCCTGGCTCACAGTCGGCATTCCAGTTCATCCCAAAGGGGTTTTGGATGAGGTTGAGGTCAGGGCTCTGTGCAGGTCACTCAAGTTCTTTCACACCAAACTGGGAAAACGATTAAATAGACCTTGCTTTGTTATGCCTCTGTGGATGGCTGAGAGTTGGTTATTGTCAATACATGGACACCTGGGGATCTGTTATTGTCTTTACAGGGTCACTTGGAAGTTCTCTTATATCACGTCCACTTACCGATGGAACAAAGAGGGTTTTGTTGAAATCCTCCTACAAGCTTACATAAATCAAGATACAAAAGAATGAAAATGAGCGCGTAAGTTTTGTCACTGTCAAAATTTGTAAAAGCTGCGGCACCAACTTTCATCTACAAAATCGTCTCAGTAAGCTAGTGTACTTTTGGACGTGTGGACTGTGACTTTGGTCCTCTGATCAGATGAGTCATGATCCTGGTCTAAACTTAGTGCTGCTTCTCTCAGCTGAATGTCTGCTCATTATAATCACACCTGGCCTCTCAGGGCCGCTACAGAGGATTTAATATGTGGATACAGACAGGAAGCTACACCGGGCCACAGGAGAGCCGACGCCACATGGCACCGCCTTTTTTCACTCTGCAGTCAGTCCTCTGTTTCTTCGCAGCATTAGTCACTCTCTCGGTTCTCCCTATACCTGTTTCTAAACACAAACTGTGGTAGATTGTGCTAAACTCTCATGTAGCTCTGAGAAAACACAGCCAGACCCCCGAGTACTTATGATTGTTTTCTTCTGTCTCATTCTGCTAAACATTGAGGTCTCCAGAGATGAAGTAAAACCCGGGCAGAGTTTGGGATCCTGCAAACAAAAATACTGTCTGTTTGGTCTCATTATTTGCTTCCTGCCACAGTGGGATTTATATGATCTTAGTAATGATTCATATTCAAATAGCATGTTTTCTTATGTACTTAGAAAGTGCAGCTGAAGAACTAAAATGAAAATAATTCATGTCTGCTGGAAGATTGGCACCCAACCCAAGGGATTGTTTGGCTGACTGGAAGCTGATGCTAAATGTACCAAAAGGCTTCACTTGACAACATCATTGTGGAGTTTTATTTTTCCTTATTTTCTCTCCTTTTTGGAATGTGTTTATGGATTAGATTCCCTTTGCATTCAGTCTGAGCTCACCTTAACAACAAGTTTGTGGCATGTGTGACAGCTTATAGCTTATAACTATGTGACAAATGGCAATTTGTAATTTACTTCCAAAACAAGTGTCATTAACTCAAGTGAACAAAACAGCTTTGGATCTACTGAGTTCAACTACATAATAAAAAGACACCAACATTGACTGTTGGTAGGAGACTGGATGTGACAGTATATACACTGTACATCATTCAGAGATCATTAAGAGTCTATGCTGTCCCATAAACACTCCACACACACAGTGAATTTGTACTTTGCTTGTACAAACACAAGTAGTTGCTTGTCATGCTGGCTTTTGTACCCTTTTTAACCAATTGTGTTGTTCAGACAGCGCACGCCAGCTTGCGATCTGCTTAAACGTTTTGGCATCCGATTTTTCATTTTGTCTCTCTCATATTAAATATGAGAGAAATAAATCCGGGGAGAAATCACACTGATAATCTATTATAAATGATTCTGATAAGTGATTAAATATAATATACATCCTGTATTTGCCAACCCTTGTGATTTTCCTGCCTTGATTCCACCAATACCACCCCCTCCCAGCACCCCACACAATGAAATTTCATAATCTGCCCATCCACTATATTAGAAACAGTGTCACTCTTGTTTATAAATGTGTTTGTTTCTTTTAAATTACATACTTATTCCACATATTTATTAGTTGTGTCTAAACCATTGACTGTATATAATTAGTGAACAGAGCTTCTTGGTCTGTAAATGAAGCCAACACGGAGTGTCTTAAACCTGCAGTCTTTCTAAGGGCCTGCAGGGGGCAGCACCATGAGCTACAAAAAAGACCCTACTTCTCAGTAAACAGTTTCTGAATGGGTTTATGGTCCCAATCTCTAGTTTCAAGTCTTGTTCCGTACAGCATAATGTTCATTTAGTAAATTATGGTCCTATTTAGAGAAAAATAGACCATAAAGCAGGTATGCTTTATGGCGTGGCTACCTTGTGATTGACAATATCTATATTCTGGTACCGCATTGCCTGTTTCTCACCTAAAATCAACTCGCAGTACGCCGCCTCTGCTGGCTGTAAAATAACAACATGGCAACAACCATAATGGCGAACTTCGAAGCTTCGAAGCGGTACTCCAGAAATCAATGGGTCATGTCAAGACAGGTTCACACTGTGTCTAAACAGAGAGCGAGAGAAATGAGCAGACACACACACACACACAGGGCTTTCAAGGCACTTCTGCCTCCTGTCTTAACCCGGCATCAGGATGTGAATAGAAGTAGTTTTGAAGCTTGAATTTGTTCTCATTTTCCTCATGAGGACATTCTCCTTGCAACTGAAACACATCAGTGTTCTATCGATGCAAAACATCTTTCCTTGCTCACAATAAATATCCTCTCAGATCATGACACAGAGGAAGTAAACCAAGTGAATTTCATTTATGATTTCTTTAAACTCGTATACACAGCAGAGCTTTTCCTGTTCATCAGTTTATAAGTAACATCTAGTTATCTGCGCATAATTCTGAATGAAAGGATAATTCCAGATGATAAAATGCTATCATGTGAGTGGGGGCAGCTCTCCAGTCCTCCCAGTTCATCTCTCAGCTCTTCATGTGGATCTTCAGAGGAGGAGAGGCCTCAGGAGATCAGCTGGTAATCCACCCTGACACTGACTCGAACTTCACTCAGCATACAGAGAAAATGGATTTAAAGGAGGCCGCAGCTTATAGAGGATTCATTTTCTTTCTTCTACTCTCCAGCTATAATACAATTATAGGTCATATATATGTGTGTGTGTATCTGGTCTTATATTGACTAAACCCTGTCATGTGAAAACACTAAAAAGTCCTCAGTGAAATTTCTGAATAGAATGAATCCCTCTGACACTTGATCGCTGAAGCGTTTGTTGATGATGAAAGTGAGGAAGGATTTCTGTCGACTGCAAGCTCGTCGTGACGGAGAGTTGAGGGGGGAAAAAAACAAAAATGACAAACCCTCCAAACCAAGTCTTTTGAGCCGCCTCTGAATCACTGTCACCACGCTGACTGTACGTTTGATGCAACATCGCCATCTGCTGATTGATGAAAGCAACACTGAGTGACCAGAAAAACAGAAACGGTGTGAAGGATCGTTCTAAATCCTGAAGAGGAACGTCCACTCACAGTGTCAGAAAGGAGTTGATTCAACAAGGTGTTGGATTATGTTAAATTTTAACTGTAAACCCATTACATATAGAAACAAAATATTAGACATTTCTTAGAGTTAGAGACTAGCAGATAAGGAAAGTGGAACATCTAGCAGCTAAAGAGTCATATATTTTTAATCAGTTATAAGGAGAGTAAATATTGGATTTGCATTCATCAGGTCGACACATGCCTATATTTACTGGTTAGGTTAGGTTAAAATGTCTTCTGTGGCTCTGTAGGTGAAAATAACCATGATGATGTCGTCATAATGTCATATGGGCTATCTCAGCTTGGGCTTAGAGACCACAAATTCAAAATCAAAAATAAAAGTAAACAATGCAGAAAAATTTGCCCTGTGTCAGATTGCAGATTTGAGTGTTGTAGTTGGTTGAGCTTATTTTGAACTATTGTGTACAGGACAGCGAATAATGATTATTTTCATTATTGGTACATCTGCTGATTATTTTCTCCATTAATCAATTGATTGTTTGGTTTGTTGTCGTTTCACTGCAGTATAAACTGTTACTGTAACAAAACATATTTTATAAGCTTTTCATATGTTTTGTAAGTGAGCATCTTAGTTTAAAGTAACTAAAGTGGTTAGATAAGTGTAGTGAAGTAAAAAAGTATAATATTTCCCGATACAATGTGGTGGAATAGAGGTAGAAAACGGCATGAGAAGAAAATACTCAAGTAAAGTACAAATACCTCAACCTTGTCCTTAAGTACAGCGCTTGAGTACATGTACTTCACTGAACGTGGACTCTTGTGTGCTCCCTGGATCCTCTTGCTCTTGCTCTTGTCTGTTTACTCATAAAATTATTCTAATATTTTAATAATTATTTATTTTATAAATGGTTTTTGTTTGTTTATTCTTCCATTTGTCCCATCAGCCTGGAAACTTCCTGAGGATCTACAACCTACGAGCGATCCCAGGATCCAGTAAGGTGCCCGGCCTCACCAGCAGCCAGTCAGAGGAGGTGGATCACCTGGCTTTTCACCTGCATGGGGGGACGGCGTACGGCAGGGGGATCCGGGTTCTTCCAGAAAACAGCCCCGACGTGCAAGACCTCAAGAGGTACAGAAGGAGACAGGGGAGAAATATACCTGAGAGAACTGAGGCATTGTTGGATGTTGGATTGTTGCATAATTGGACCAGAACAGACCAGTGCAGTACTAGTGTAGACAAAGTCAGCTGCCGTTCATTCATTTAAAGGTCCAGTGTGTAACATTTAGGAGTATAGGAATCATGTTTTTGTTGCCTTAGAATTAGACATTTACATACAGACACCGTGGGTCGCCTTCCATGGAGTCCGCCATGTTTCTCCAGTAGCCCAAAACGGACTAACTCAACATCGCTTCTAGATAGGGGCGTTTTTTTCACGTTTCGTGGCCACCATGGGGAAGCGAGGGAGTTGCAACTTCACCACAAGATGTCACTAAATCGTACACACTGGACATTTAATGTTTGGAGCATCTAGTTTATAGGGGAATGTTTAGAGGACCGGAACTATAATATATATATATATATATATATATAATCCTATTTGGTGAGTGCATTACAGTTTTGAAATGCAGATATGTTGAGTACAATAGCATTCCAATAATTTAACTGGAATTTTTTTATTGTGTTTATTCAATTGTGTGTGTGTGTGTACATGATCATAAGTCCCGTGTTCTTCTTGTTTTTGTCTCTGTAGAGTCATTGAGGCTTTGCCGGAGGATGGTGAGCTGAATGACTCAGCAATGTTGGAAATCTGGAGCACTCCACCAGAGTCTCTGGGTAAGAATGGATGTTGGATGGGTCTCGAATTTATGAAATTTAAATGTGTCCAATACTTTGGTTTATTAGCTGCAAAAGTAACGACATTCCCATCAGACTGATTTTAGTAATAATTAGCAAATGTTAGCATGCTAACACATTAAGCACAAAAATAGAAGCACATCTGTTTAGTCAGACGCGGATTCTTTGTTGTGTCTGCTTAAAAGTGACTAAGTGAAGTCTAATTTTCATTGTGTGACTTAAATACAAAGAACAATGTGAGTGGTGGTCGCCTGCCAGCCTTTAATTAAATGAAAAACAGGTTCGCCAGCAGCAGAAATATGAACATTCTGACTGCTCTGACAGACCATTTTCTTTACTGAGGAGAGGATGGATGGATGGATGGATGGACTGAAGCTGCAGGGAGCTGCTTCCATTAGCAGAGCCTTCTAAAAGCCCACGCTTCACTGGGAATATAATAAAAAGTCCAAACTTTGACTGTGACCTGAAGGTTTCCACACAGACAAACAAACAGCCGCAGCTTTAAAATAATTCTTCAGCAATAAAAAAGCTCTGTTCAGACCTGATGTCTGTTATAAATACAAGTGGACAAAATATTTGGGACTCACTTTCCTCTCAGAAGGAGCATTCCGTTTTTAAAATTAACCTCGCACCCAGACATTTAACAAGAAGTAGAATCAGAACCGGGTCGTATAAGAACACAGAAACAAGCAGAAATCAGCATGTAAAGAAGGAAAGAGGAGAAAAAATTATATTGAATTATGACATAAAGACACTGACATTTTTATTATACAGTACACACAGTATATTCTATATCTATTAGAAAACAATAGGTCTGGTCTCTCAAATTTATAGTGGTCTAGTTTTGACAATTTTCAAATTAAATTTATGTCCTTATTTATTCCCTCTCTTTTAAAGCTTATTTTTTGCATAATTCTTGCTTTGCTTTTATTTTCCTGTTTTAAAGAATATACACCAACTGTATTTCAGTAGAAACTAGATTCATTCATTAATCTCTAGATTGTTCTTTGCCTCTCAGTAGCAGGGAGATGATCACAGCGCCTGGGATGATTATGCACAATGCTCTGTGAGCTGAAGCAGGCAGCACAAGCAGCTCATTTTAAGCCTTCTAATAAAATCCTTTTTAGATCAGATGATTTTGTTTTCTCAGCTGCCAGCTAAAGGAACTGAGCAGAGTACAGTTTGTTTATTGGCCTGTGTTACTTATTGCTTATTGATTGGTGTATTCCTGTATCTGGTTCAGTCTGGTTTCTCTGTTTCTGATTTAGATGGTGAAACAGTGGATTGCATCACAGGTATGAAACACAACACACTGCAACAGCTCAATAGGTCTGGTGTGAGGTTAAACAGTCCACATTTGTAAAATATAACAAACGCAGCTGTTATTTTGTCAGAAAGTGTCACTGTGTTTTTCTCAGTTTGGAATGTATTTATTATGAATGTAATATTCATAGGTATGTTTTAATTCGTGTTTAATCCAAAGCATTGTGGGTGATGATCTATTGACCCTCCGCTGATATCGTTGATAGGTAACAGCCTCTGAGGTGTGATGACTTTAGAGACATAGTAGGAGTCCTGTTTTAAGGTTGTCTGCAATTATTTTTCAAATATCTGAAATTACAGCCAAGTTACAGTCAACTGCAGTGTTTCTTAATTGAGTATCAGAATTCTAAAGCACTATGTCTACAGGTAATGTTTGACAGCTAAACAGTTATTTCTATTTCCCAGTTTTTTTAAAGGAGATTTTTATGTAGAATTAAAAAAGTCTGATTGTGTCTGTGAAACTGTAACTATGTGTGTTGTGTCGTACCGTCACTGTGTGCGTCAGAGAGAAGCTGTGGTCACGACATACAGTCGGTGACGCTGTCCGAGCTGAAGCAGTGCGATCCGGGTCGAGTTCACCACGTCAGAGTCCAGCTGAGATCCTACGAGCCCCGCAGACTCCACCAGGCTCTGAAGCTCTACTGCAGCAAGTGTACATCTATGTAGGCTAACACGCAATATTAAAATATGAATTAAGCTCTTAATGTTTCCTGTAAAATCTAACTCTGGTTTAAGGTTTTATTTTTGTCACATGCACATGCAGACTTTTCTTTTGTTGTTTAGGCTTTCAAATTGGTCTTAAATTCATTTCCAGGCATACAGATGCAAACATTTGTGGCAGTGGGTATTGAATTTAAAGTTGGTCTGTCTGAATTTATATTTCGGAATATGAAAGTTAAGAAGTTAAGAGCAGCAAATCCACATATGTCTCAAATATGACATATATATGAAAAATGACTCTCTAAAATGTAAATGAAATATCTGATTACCCTCTGATTCTGTGTTGTGATCTCAGACAGGACGTCCCAGATGATGAACTGGTGGCCGGTCTCTTCTCTGAGGGGTCCAAGGACTCTGGACCCTGCAGCCCCCCACCGTGGGCATTCTCTGGGCGGGTCGACGTCCCCGGAGATTCCCCAGGATCCTGGAAGCGAGCTCTGAGTGTTCACCTGTCCACCCAACTCATGTCTGAGGGCAAACCCAAGGAGCTCATCTTCCTCATGGGTAACAACCAAACACACTCTATTTAAAACATATTTGAGGGAATCAAGCATGTTACACCAGAATCTTTAGTCACCTGAAAGCATAAAAGCTTTATTTTTGGCTGCCATCATTTTCATCCTAAAATCAGACACATGGTGACAGATGTTTTGGTTTGCAGGTTCGACTCTGGAGGAAACGTGTCGACTAACGTCAGGCTACCAGAACATCGTTCCTGTGAGGGCGTCAGGAGGTCACATGGCTCTGCTGGACCTGTCTGCACCTTTCCTGTTCAGAGGCAGGAAGAGATACTACGGGTCAGAGATGAGCCTCGCACACAAATCCTATAATACAGTTAGAGCCTTATCAAAATCAATTAGTTGCTAAATCTCTAAATCAGCTCTTGTTGCAGCTGTGTCAGCTATTTTTCTCATTTTCTGTTCATTATGACTGTGGATGGTACACTCACTCACTGTGTGACAATTTAGATATTAGTGTTAGTGTTAGTAAGATATTAAAGTGTCATTACTATAGTGTTTACACTACATGGAGAAAGGCTTGTGAAGAGGGAAAGAGACAAAAGCAAACTGCTGGTATAAAGTTGGAAGTTGTCTTTTGTCTAAAATATCTCTGCAGCAGTAAGATTTCACTTCATTAAAGCGCCTAGAATAGACCAAACCAGGAAAACAGGCCCAGATCATTATTTTAATCCTCCCCCACTTAACTACACTTGGCACATCACATTCAGGCAGCTACACAATCTCTGTAGTTTTAATGTAAAACAGAAGAAAAAGGGCTCAACTGGGGATGTTCCTGGTGACTAATTTAGCCGTCGATTAAACAGAAATTTTAACTACTAGCAAAATTGGATACTCATGTACTTTCGGTCATTGTGTATGCCTCTGTGTCATACCCAACTGTGCAAGGAAAGTGTGCCTGAGGAGATTTGAGTTGGTACATATGCAATGTTAATGAGAGAATATGTTTGATGATACTTTAGAGCACATCAGTGTTTTATTCACAGTAGAGGATAGACCGATAAGTGCACAGACATCCCAGAGCTGATCGTATATTCTCTTTATGATTTCCTGTGTGTGTTTTAGGTGTAGGCAGTGCTCTGAGGCTGCAGTGAGGGAACCGTGTGCTGAAGGAGTCGAGCTGATCGATGAGAAGATCATTGCAGAAGGTGAGAGCCTGGTTTGACCTTCTGGATTGTCAGAGGGAACTGTGGAGGTGGAGAAAACACACAGGAAGCAGCTTCCACTAAAATGCCAGCTTCTTCTGCTGCCCCTGAGTGCCCAAACTAAAACTAATGCAGCTTTGACAGAGGAAACCGTGAGCCTCTGTGCAACTTGATCAACAAAAAATTAATCTGCATCAATTTTAATAATCAGTTTGTCAAATTCAATCAAAGGTTTAAAAGAAAACTCCAACCATTCTCTGTCTGCATCCTTGAATGTACCATCAAGGAGAGTTTTAAAACTGGTGCCTGCTCTGAACTGCAGCCAAAACGACAATAATCTTACACTTACAAAAAATTAAGTTTCCTCCTTCCGCCTCCTAATTCAGCAGGATTGAAAAGCTCATCAGCTGATCTCAGGTCTGTTCTAGCTGCAGCTTTTCCTCTGAAATAAATCACGCAGTGTTAACAGCTCTGGTCTTCTGGCCTGCAGCTCTCGGGGTTCAGCTGCTGCAGTTCGTTCTGCTGATGAAACTCGAGCTGCAGGACGGCACTGACACGCTGGAGGCCATCCTGTGGAGAGACGCCGTGAGTTTCGCATCACATTTACAGTCCTGCTCACTCTGGATCAAAAGCTGCCGGGACTTATAGCAAAATGATACATGAAACATTCTGGTGTTTGTGTTTGTTTTACTACTGTAGTGGCTGTATGGAAAAAAACACACAACATGATAAAACCGCCTAAGACTGTTTTTGGAAACTGATTGAGTATAAGTTAATGAGTTAAAATGATGCTTTGTATCTTTCACCAGGAGTCTTTCTTCAGGGTGTCTGCGGAGGACGTAGCAGCCAATCAGGAGGCTCAGAACAGCATCTGTCAAACAATGGACTCCCTCTGTCCAGCAGGGGGCAGCACTGGTACATCTTTCATTTGAGTTAGAGAGCTAACTCTTTAGTCCAGCAGCAGCTTCACTACAGTCACATTATCATAGGGAAGAATAACTCACTGTGATAAAATCAATCAATTAAGAAAGAAGAAACATTGTAAGATTAATTTGAACCTGAACAGCAGCAGGTTTTGTTCACTGATAAGACGCCATCAGTTAGAATGAATCTAATGTGTCTAGCATTTATAACGCAGTGACCTGATGAGTTTCAGTGCAGAAGCCAAGAATTACTGTTAGCACTGATGACTATGAATCTAAGTTACTGTATGCTGCTGCTCCTGTCCCTCAAACGACACTCCTTACCATGTTCATCATTATGAGTCACATAGAGCGTTTCTCCGTGGAAGTAAGTGAGTTCAGGTTTGTGTGAAGTTGGTCTCAGGTGTGTTTGTGTGTCCTCAGGTGAGCGTCCGTGGCTGGATTTGTGCCTGACGGTGTACCGAGCAGAGGACGACGGGGGACAGAACCAAACCTGCTACCAGATCTGCCACACCACCATCACCAAACCCCCTTCCACACAGTCCGACCCCGCCCCCGCCTGAACCACCTGCTGATCACAGGTCACCGGTAAACCTACCCTGCAAAAAAGCAACTGTTTTTGTTCACTTCCTTTGTTGTTTTTATTTGTATTTATTGTGTAAAACTAAATAAATGTACAGAAAATGTTACTGCAAAAATGTACAAGACTGACTGACATGTGAGTGAATTTTTAAAACCTCTGCTGTTTCCAGTGCAGTAAACAGAGCCTTTGTATGACTTTCAAAATAAAATAAATGACTTTGACTGAGGTTGGTAGTATTGTAGCAGCTGTGTATGGATGCAAACAGCCAGTGAACGCTCTGATTCAGAGTGGCTGTGATTCACAGTATTTCCCCAACATTACTGATCTTGGGTCAGTTACGCATTTTGCAAAGTTTGCACCAGCTGTGCTGAGATAAGAAGTAAAATGTCTCAGTTTATCCAAGTATATGTAACCTAGATTAGTTTACTGTATAAACAGTGAACCTGAAACAAGGATGGATGGATGTAGACAGTCTTATTTCTTCCATCGCAGTTTCTGACTCGTCTCACCCAGGATGTGTTTTAAATTCATTTTTGGGCATGTTTGCCTTCATTTGAGAGTTGATAGAATAGAGACAGACAGGAAGTGTGGGGGTGAGAGAAGGAAATATGAGGTGCAATAAAGGTCCTAAGATAGACTCTAAACAGCACATGCATGCGGATTAACCATTAGGTGACCAAGACGACCTCTCCCAGATTCTTACCCTGAACACAACCACATCAAACCTCCACCAAACCTCAACCATCTCTTATATTAACCCCAACAAAACATGTTCAACCTTATGGATAAACAGATTCACTTGTTTATAGTTTAAAGCTTAGAACTACCAGAACCATTCTTTGTCTGCTGGCTGGTCGGTCCACCACTTTGGTCCAGAGTGACATATCTCTGGTTCAGACATCCTAGTTCCCTTCAGGATGAGGGATTAATAATTTGGGGGATCTTTTAACATTTTCTCTTTTCCTCAACTCCTTCCTCCGTTTGTCCAATACTTTGGTTTATGTCTAAGTTCCTGTAAAACTAATGACATTTACATCAGCCACTTTGTGTTCAGTGCTACAGGAAATATTAGACATAGATCATAATAAAATCATAATTTAATGTGACTTTCTAACAATCCTCATTCTATTATTTAGAAATAACATGAAGCTGGTTCAGAAGATTTGCGCATTAAAAACTTTGAAACATGTAGAGAACTTTGTGTGAAAGTAACCATGTAAAGTCATTTACTTACTGCACACTTTTCAGTACTGATCTGCTGTGCCATCTGCTGGTCAGTTGACAGCGTAATGCACTTTACAAAAGACTTGTTATTGACACAAACTGAGCCCAAAGAAGATATACAGATACAGAATAGGGCAAACACAAATAATAATGGATGGAATTTTGTGGTCTTCATCGGTCTCAGTTTTATGTGTCTGTTGTCACTTCTACGTGTTTCCCCCCCTCTCCTCCAGAGTGCAGATGTTGGACACAGATGTTCCTGGAGAAGAGAAACCTCTACAGTCCCAAACCAAAGTGAGGTGGTAAATAAGGTCCAAATTATTGATGTTTCGAAGGCCAGAAGCAATAACTCCAAAAATTCAGTCACTTGCAGTTTTAGCTCAGAAAGTCTACACTCGCCTCTGCTTCCAGGAAGTAAAACTGTAAAACCTCTCAGTCAAAAGCCAACTTAAACTTCTTTCAGTTTAAATGATGCACATCAGATTAGTGATGGTGTAATACCCAGACTTTGCACTAGATGGCACAAACAATCTGTAAATGTTGGTTCTGGCATGAACTTCCCTTTAAGTACAAGTGAACCATTTCTTTACTGGAATTTATTTAGTTTTTCTTTGACTTTTCAGCAAATTCCAAAGGCATTTCGGGGAATGTCTGGTGTTAAATTTAAGCTTTTAATAATTGAATGATGATCTTTGTAGAGTTACTGTACAAATATCACAAGTACACTATGAATTCCTGCAGGATTATTTAGAAATGTCTGTATTTATGTTTTTCTGTGAAACTTAAGTAAGTATTCCTACAATGATATTAGTCTATATCCAGAAACAGAGAATAGTACTTTACTGTACTTAGCTTAAATCCCTAAATATCAAAATGTGTATTAGTTGTTGTATAACATTAATTCATGCACTACAAAACTGCAAGTCTTTAAAAGCGAATAAAGTTTTTCTTCATTTTTAAATAAGTTTAAATAAGAAGTTTGTGCCTGATCATTTTGTGCTTGAGGTCTACCGAGTTCAGAAAGCTTCTATCTGAAAAACTTTTACATTTTAATAAAAGTTTGAGTAATACATTGAGGACCGCTGCCATCAATGTCATTTCAGGAAAACGATAAAAACGTCTTTAAGGCAAGCTCTTTTATCAAAAGTGTTCACATAAAAAAATATTGTCAGTGTGACTCACACACGGTAATCCCACACAGATTACGGCTCAGTGTGTTAATTGTACACTTGATTAGGGTTTGACAGATAACTCCCTCCTCCCCCTCCCTCCCTTGACAGATAACTCCCTCCTCCCCCTCCCTCCCTCCCTCCCGCCCGCCTTCCGCCTCCTACTCTCGGGTCCTCTTCTCTCTGTCTCTCAGACGGAGCTTGGCGTCCCCACCGGCCATATTTCACCGCGCTCTCTCCCGGCCCCCGAGCGCTCTGGAGCGGCTGTGCGCGCAGAAACTTCATGGGACGGACGTGGACCTGCCCCGGGTGGGATTCAGCACTCTACCCCCACCCCCTCCATCAGCTGCAGAGGATCTGAACAGTCAGTTTACTTTTTCCATCCCAGTTTGAGGACATTCTTTCCCCTCTGGTTTGTTGTCTCTTTGGTGATGCCTCCAGACTGGAGCCGCTCCGGGACGCACCATAACCCGACAGGTGCTCCTCTGATACACGAGCAGAGACTTTGTGTGAGCTGTTTGCGCGCAAAGATGAAGGAAAACTGATTATTTGTGCCAGTTTAAAGTTCAGATTTTTGCTTTTTTTGGACTGATTATCAGAAACCAGTGATGGATCGATCATTTTGGAAAATGCATCAGTTTGATCTGAGGGGTTAGAAAGAACCACACGATGCTGCTTCCATTCTCGAGGTTACTGTGTTTGTGGCTCTCCAGCGAGGCCGTTGCGAGTCAGTTCCACTGGAAGAAAACAAAGACGACTTTCAGTCCTCATTATGAATCCACCGCCGCTGACAGGAATGCGCAGAGCCAGAGATGGCGCACGGTCATCGGGGAGGACAATGGGGGGACGCGCGACGCAAATGCGCACGCCTCGTGGCTGGATACTGTAAACCCGTCATTCCCTGAGTGGCTTGGACCCCAGAAACCCCAAACCGCTGTGCGTAAAAGCGATGCGCAGAATGGAGCGCGGCGCATACCTGTACACGGAGACGAAGCTTTGCGCACGGGGGGGCCGCGGAGCGATGGATTCAGCCCGGGAGAAGTGCTCAAACAAACCCCGCATGGACTCACCTGCAGCCTCGGAAGAACTGGACACAACCGGCGGAAGAGACGGAGCGCAAAACCCAGAAGGGCGAAGCGGAGCGAGCCGCTGCAGGACGGAGCCGCGGGCGCGTGGGAAGCTCTGCCCGTGGCCATGGCACAGGAGCAAGAGGCCGGACCCCCCTTCGGACTCAACACCAGTGACTACGAGGAGGAGTACTCTCTGCCAGACTTTCCCGACACCACGCCGTTCGTGCCGGTGAACCCGCGGACCAGACGGAAGCAGGTGAAGAACCCGTTCTACCCGGTCACCGCAGAGTCCTACGGAGCCTACGCGGTCGTGATCACCGCCGCCGTCATCTTCAGCGCGGGGATCATCGGGAACGTGTCGGTCATGTGCATCGTGTGTCACAACTACTACATGAGGAGCATCTCCAACTCGCTGCTGGCCAACCTCGCGCTCTGGGATTTCATCATCATCTTCTTCTGCCTGCCGCTCGTGGTGTTCCACGAGCTCACCAAGAACTGGCTGCTGGGGGAGTTCTCGTGCAGGATCATCCCCTACCTGGAGGTGAGAGGGCAGGGGTCGGGTTCTGGGTCTGGGTCTGGTTCTGAGGTTGGTGGAAGTGACTGAGTGTATGTGTACGGTGTTTGTAAGGACGATCCTGGGATCACGTATGACGTCATTTTGTAGGCGAATTTCTCACATCCAATTGCCAGTGGAGTTTCTGAACAGAGGTTTTAATAATGAAAATGATGATAGATGGTGATGAGAACATTCTGTTAAACGTTTTGTTCTACACGAATCAACACAGTGTACACCATGTTTGAACCACGCACCAATGGTATCAGTTGATCTATATACAGAAATAAATGATGGGTTACATGTTTTTTTCAAGTAAAGTTTATCTGAATTTAATATGAGGCCTTAGCAGTCTAATCAAATCAGTCTCAGTCAAGTCTGTTTAGTACAAAATTCCCTCTCTGGACAGTGTCTCTGTGCTAAGCTGCAAAGAGGACATTTTATATTCCCTCCAGGCACATTTTTTAAACTGCAACAGAGGAGTGAGGAGAGCAACACCTGTAGGAGGCATGGCCTTATGGCTACATTCAGTCCCTCCAGGATGTATGTTGCAATGTTTTTAGACATTGTTTTGCCATGAAATATGAGGACAATATGCAGAAAATGCAAGAAAATTGCAAAAATAGTTGAGATTTCGTTTGTAAGATTCATTAAAAACCACTTGCCAAAAGGCCACTTGCTCCAGGGAGAATAAAAGTGCACTGTTTGGACAGTGTAAATGTGAGATGTTAGTGCTGCAGGGTCTGCCTGCACGCTAACATCAAATTTGTGTAAAAAGTTGCAGTGATTGGACAAAATTCACGGTTGTTGATTGAATTGGAGCGGGTGAGTAGTGTGTAACGTACAGAGTCAGAGATATAGAGCTGGGAGCCTCTGAATGCAGCTTTATGGCGCTTTGACAGCAGCTCAACATACATATTAGAGAGTATGAGGATGAGAGACGCCACCCCCCTTGTTAGAAAAATGCCCCTTGTTTATCCCTCTCCATCCCCTTGAAGCAGAGAGTGCAGGGAAGGAGAGGTTGTTAAGATGAATATGTTAATTGAGTCTGCCTGACCCATCCATCCATTATCTGACTGAGGCTGAGCCTGTCCTGACATCCGTGTGGCCCTCGTACCTGACCCGTGAACCGTGTAAACCATTATCCACTGCCACCCAGTCACACCTGACACCCCAGTCCTCCCACTACAATACAAAGAGTTTACTCCATCTGTCGGTCAGAGAATAAGTAGACCTATACAGAACAGAATGAGGCAGTGTTTATTGAACAGAATATTTTCTACAGAATCTTCAATTTCAAACCATACAATTTAGTTTCAGTCTGTGAAATAAAAATATAAGGACGTACATTTAAAATTTTCCTTTATACTTTTTCATGTTGATGTGAACGGGTCACATTAGGTGAATTAGGTGGACGGTGGCTCCAGACTGCAGTCAGGGGTTAAATCAGGTTTAATGTCGCCTAATGTGAAGGGTCTTTAATCTGATCAGTGTCACATCAGGCTGCAGAAAACAAGACGACACCTGCTCCACACGAGACATCCTGCTGTCCAATCAGAGTGAAGATCAGGATTAATGAAGAGTCTCTCAGACTGAGATTAGAGAAAGACGACCCCCCCTCTGATCAGTCTTCATCAGAGGAAACAGGACAAGGGGTTCTGAGATTAGATCTGGATATATAGATGTTTTCTTTAATTTCATAGATTGTATATCATCTTGGTTTGATCCCCTGAGCTGCACTGAAGGGAAATCTTAAAGCTTCCTGCACAGAGCCCTGACCTCCACTCCATCCGACACCTTCAGGAGGAACTGGATCACCGGCTGCGAGTCAGACCTGATCACCCAATTTAAGCGTTGTAATTCACTAAAAGCTCTTCCCTGCGGCCAGGTTCAATATCTGGTGGAAAGGCTGAATCCAGAAGAGTGGAGGCTGTTAAAGCAGCACATTAATGCCTGTGATGTTGCAATCACATGGTCAACTGTCACACATGGCTGCAAGGTTCAGCTGTCCACATACTTTTGGCCATTTAGTTGCGATGCAGCTTGTAATCCCAGTGTTTGTGTTGGTGATGTTGAGCTGAAGCTGACAATGTTGACATGTTTTAAATCAGCTGAATGTCTGGTGTGTAAATACTAGCAGCAGGTTCACATGTCGAGTGTAAAATCTTTTTAATGTAAGGTCGATAAACAAAAGGTTGTATTTAGGTTCAACTTTAATCTTCTTAGCAGCAGCAGCAGCTCTCCGTGTTGGAGATGATGACCTACATAACATCAGTGATAATTACTGATGTCACCAACTGTCATCTTCTATTTCATTTGTTAGGATACTGTCCTTTAATTTACTTCCGAATTAATAAAAACCTACACATATACACTAAATATACTATACTATAAATCTACAAAAACTAATTTGAAGTAGGGGAATAAAGAGCAGTTGATGAGCTCACTCCTGTTGTCTCTGTTTAATGGAGCGTAATCGCACAAAACAGCAAGTGGGTTAAAACGGAAAACTGCTGTGACACACACACACACACACACACAGAGAGAGAGTTGTTGCAGGGTAAAGGTCAGCAGCTTGACAATCTGTGGCTGAGTTCCTGTCATATCAGAGATACTATAATTACCAGTTTCTAACTTACATCTTACATCAACATCCAAGTAATAATCATGACTACCGGATTTTTCTCTCAGCGATAAATAATACAAACGTGACTGACAACAGAACAAACGGATGTCCATCGTGTTAATTAAAGTTAATTAAACCCAGATTTAATGAATATGAGTATTTTAAACTCGCACATGGTCAACTCTACTTTAAGTGTGTTTCCACCCACCTGTTTGAATGCACATTTTCAATTGTCAAAAGTGCCAACACCTGTTTATCTCCGTGAACCGGCTCCTTATATTCACAGAACAGCAGTGGATGGACACATGTGCATTATTTAGAATTTTGTTTAGCATATTTTCTGCAAATCTGGTTCAAATTTGTGCTGCATTTGGATGCAAAATTAACTTCTCTAATGATACAAGCGTCTTGAGTTGTCAGATCTTTCCATCTCTACCAACCATCATATATGATATGAATGCAGCAGTCAAATGGCGAGCTGTGAGAATAGCTTGAGCAGAGAGTATAGGTAAAAAGTTGGAAAGATGACATTAGAAGTAAGTATGGGTGGATATCATAGACAAACTGTTACAATGACGTTTAACACACACACATACACTGCTGCACTGGAACAACTTCATAGACCAAAGAGAGACTGTTCTGAGTAACAGAAGGTAGTGGAACAACAGGACAGGAAGTGACAGGACTCTGGCAGCGTTACCCTGTGTCCTCACACCAGACACACACAAACACACACACACACACACACACACACACACACACACACACACACAGACACTACTGGTTTCCGTGTGTCCTTCATACAGTATGAAATGTTTAGAGCTGCTGAGACACAACAGAGAGGTTGTCAGGTTTCTGACATAACACAGAGCAGAAGAGTGTGTGTGTGTGTGTGTGTGTGTGTGTCTGAACTGTATGTTCCTCTTCTCCTTTTCTGGGTCATTCTTCCCAAAAAGTAGTCACGCCAGAAAGAGTGTGGAGAACTTTGTAAGTTTACATTGAGAAGTGTAACCCGAGGTTCCTCTTCTCTTCCCAGGTGGCTTCTCTCGGGGTCACGACCTTCACACTGTGCGCTCTGTGCATCGACCGTTTTCGTGCTGCCACCAACGTGCAGATGTACTACGAGATGATCGAGAACTGGGCGTCCACCACGGCCAAGCTTGGCGTTATCTGGGTGGGTGCCCTGCTGCTGGCGCTGCCCGAACTGCTGATCCGGCAGCTGGTCACTGAGGACGGCGATCCACCAGACGTGACGCCATGCGAGCGTTGCGTAGTCCGGATCTCCACTGACCTCCCAGACACGCTGTACGTCCTGGGACTCACATACACTGGTGCACGCCACTGGTGGTACTTTGGCTGCTACTTCTGCTTGCCGACACTGTTCACCATTTGCAGCTCACTGGTCACGGCCCGCAAGATCCGCCACGCAGAGCGGGCCTGCATCCGTGGCAGCAAGAAGCAGATCCAGCTGGAGAGCCAGATGAACTGCGCCGTGGTGGCGTTGGCCATCCTCTACGGCTTCTGTATCATTCCAGAGAACATCTGCAAGTTCAGGGAGAAACCGCTGGTATCATCTGCCACCTGTGTCAGCCAGCTGCTTTGCTCTTACCTGTAAGGTCGTGCTCGAGTTTACGGCCTTGTGTGCTGCTGAATTAACGATTTATCTTGCGTGTTCTGTGTCCACGTTAATTGCAATTCCTGATGATGCTGCTGATACTTGCGAACGGAGTGCGGGCCCTTATTCCGCCGCCGCCCATCTCTCCTCTTTTGTGGCCCATCCGCTGCGACGAGTGCGGCCCGACCCACCCCCCCACCGCCGCCGCCAGTGACGTCGAGAACGAGGGCACCACCACAGAGCTGGAGCTGTCGCCATTCAGCACCATGCGCAGGGAGGCATCCACGTCCGCTGCCTACACTGCCGTGGGGACACACTGCTGAGGTCAAAGGTCAACAGCGTCAGGTGGAGTTTGTTCCGGGTCGTTCTGCTGATTGTGTTCAGGAATTTGATTGGTGGACGCGTTGACATATCAGGCTGTAAATTACTGAGTTTTTAAAGACTTGAGTGGAATCAACTCCAAAGTGTTGAACCAGTTTGTCCTTTCACTGTTTACAGAATTTACATATAAAAGAACACACAGTCAGTATTGGTTATCATATATTTAGTTCTTTTTCATTAACTCACCAGTATTTTACTGAAGCTGCACTCAGTCTTACTTTTTGATCATTGTCACTGTATTTTACAGAAGCTGAGAGCCGACATGGACCCTGAACACTTCCTGCTCCTTTTCTTGAGATCACGACGTAGTCCAACAATGTACACTGAGTCGCTATGTCAAACAAATGTGGTTTGACATCTTAACATAAATCTTGAGATAAATGATAATTAAATTGGATAAAGTTTTATTTTATGTCTGTAATTTCAGTTCCTCTGAAAAAAGAACTTATTTTAGTTTATTTATAAAGCAATTGTTAAATTTCCTGTAAAGAACAGATCAATTTAAAACCAAAATATTCATTTAACATTCCTTTTTTGAGTCATTCTCCAAATATATTAAATGTAGAAAAATTTTACGTTTTTCTATGTTCAGCTGACCTGCTGCACACTCACTAAAAGACTTTCTAGCAATTATTTGAAATCAGGCATCTACCAATCAGACACTGTCTTATAGACATTGTTCTTTCCAGGAAACTACAGATCCTTAAAATAAAGTGCTACCATAAGTTGTTGTGTTGGGATAATGGGCATAAAAAATGGTCGTCACCTATAGTTTTGTACCTTTGGATGTTCCTGGTTGTTTTCTTTCCTTTCTTTGTGTGAGTGAGTCAGTGGGACGTACAGTAGTGTACTGAGAATGGCCGTTGACGCTGTGTTGTGTTGATGATGATGATGTTGTGAATCAGTTCTGGCTGTGCGAGTGTGTTGCTCTTCACTCTGTGTTTGATAGCAGAAGACTGCACTCTGTACGGTGCATGTGTAATGACAGAGCTATTGTTTTTTTTAGCCACAAGAGAAGTGTCACTTTAATAAAGAAATATATTTAAAATAGATTTTTGAACCCCGTTTGCATTTAGTTGATTTATTTGTTCGATGGCAGCCCATTGTGGTCTCAAAGAGTAAGAAGGCAGAAACAAAATCAGGGCTGGGTGGCCCGTCACTTTGTCGTAGAACATGCAGTTTTTCCCACATTGAAACAGCATGGGGCGAATGCAATCATGAAATTTGTGTATATTCTCACAGATGCAAAGTAAATACACATCAGTTCAACTTTTGTTCTTTTTTTTTTTTGGAGGGGGGGGGGGCACAGTAGTGTTTTTTATAGACACAGTATGAAAGTGTTGGAGTAAGTATGTGAAGGAAACACGTTCATCCAAAAAAGAAGCAGAGTGAGTCTGTCCATCCAGAGGACACAGCTGCCATTGTTTGTACAGTTGAGACTCAAAACAACATGTCCTCATCCACTCACAGTGACCACCACTGACAGTCAGTCCAACAAACTGCAGAACCTGAAGGCAGCCAGCACTCACAAGTCAATGCAAGAACATTATTTATGCAAATCATTTTTTTAATTAACTTCATTTGCTCAAATGCAAAAAAAACAACAACATAAAAACAAAAACTTTTCCTCCTGATTACAGTTTATTTGCTGCATCACGCTCAACACAAATCTCAGCTGTTTTTTCTCTCGCCATCGTTTCGTCATCATCATCGCCGCCCATCCAGGGAGGACACAGCACGGCATTGTCCTCGCCTCCCGTTGACATGACGACGGAGGGAGTCTGCCTCTCAGCTGGCTACCACAGTGAACAGCGCTACAGTACCACAGACAACACATCGAGCCTCATTTATTCTGAAAGAAGTTGTCACTGATGGTTTCAGGTCTGAACCAGTGCAGTCTGGCCTTTAAAGAACACATCCTGTCCTTACTGTTGGTTTAGTAAACGAGTCAAACATCAAAATAAAACTGCAGTACCCATGTTAACAAGTGCTGATTGCAGGGATAACCATCATTAATAAATTGTAAATTGAAAGTTAATTAAACTTTAAAAACAAGAAAATTACCATTAATAATCTTTACTATACTATCATTAGTAATGCTATAATTTATGCTATTTTATCATTCATTTGTGCAATATAAAATCATCCGTTTATAAATTACATATTGTATCATAACTGATAAGAGACGATAATGCCAGAACAAACCAAAACACTGACTCCAGAGGGGGCCTTGGCGGTTTTCAATCTGCAATTTCACCTCTATATGCCACTAAATCCTACACACTGGTCCTTTAAATGTTTACGATGTTAGAATGTTTGTAACATATTTAGCCCTGTATTTAAGCATGAGAATAGAATTGTGGCTTGTTAATTTATCATTCATCAAAATGCCGTCTCTAGGACATTAGCATGAGCATGTTAACATGCAAATGTTTAATTTGTAATGTTTGGCATGTTAATGTTGTAATTTTAGTTCTATTAACATATATAGTTAGTTACATTTTAGTATGAGCAAGATACCAACAATGCAATGCAGTTTTGCCAGTTAGCTTGTTAGCATGCTAATTTAGCATTAATCTGCAGCTGAGACTGACATGGATACAATCATTAGTTTTAGAAGTACGTATACTGCCATGAACTGAAGAAGTACAAGATTTGACCAGATAATTAGAGGATCCCCAGGATTCATTGTCTGTGCATTGTCTGTACAAATTTTCACGGCAATCCATCTGATATGTTTTACTCTGGACCAGGGTCCCTATAACTTCATTAGCTCACAACCAACCAACAGTAACAAATGGATTCCTGGCCTGAGGGGTTGTTGAACTGCAAGGCTATTTGTATGTTCTGCACAGCTCCCAGCCTGAATCCCGAGAAAATCCACATTCCTGAATCCAGGCAATGTGTGACGCTTGAACATCAACACTGCACCATCAAATATTTCTGCGATTGTATCTGCAAAGATGTGATGGTAAAATTGTTTTGTTGCATGGAGGGCATTCAACCATCAGACCAGATACTTTGCCTCAGCTAAACGCCACTTGGTGGCATGTATTTTGAGTAGCAAGGGCACAATTTTAGTTTTCTTAGTATTAATTTCCTTTGAATAATTACATAACATTTTTGTCTAATTGTACTCATCGCAGAATCACCAAGAGGAGACTCTTTGTATGTTAACCACATTCTTCTCTAATCACCCGTTTGGCTTTGATTTGCTCTCTGGCACCAAACTTGCGTGTTTGGGTCTTTTGTAAATGAGGCTGGCAGCCCCAGTCGCTGCTCCAATAATTAGACATCCCCATTCATTCAGAAACAATGGGGCAACGGGTACACTGAGGCTCCGCTGCTGAACAGGCTGCTCACTGACCTTCTCCCAACTGCTCCCAGGACTGTTTTCTGGAATGAAACGGATGTCCTGGGTGGGCTGGGTTCGCTGCCCCTGATTGGCGGACAGGAGCCAGGCTTCCACGACAACCAGATCAGACGTCCTGGATGGTGCAGATTCAGGTAACCTTTTTTCTGCTGGGATGTCTACACATCAAAACAGCCATACACTAATCCTTATATTGCTAATTAGACATTAAGAGACACATTTTTAACAATATACCAGTTGGCAACAGCTGTCTAACTAAACCACTGTACGAACCCACCTAATTTATATGTCTAAAGGGTAGGTTAAATAACAGGTATGTTTAATGCAAAACAATCAATACTGCTGCTTCAATAGCAGTTGAATCAACACCTTTCTAAACATTACAAACTTCATGAAGGACGGATTTATTGCAGGACTGCAGGCTGGGTGCTTCCTGCCTTTTGTACCAACCAAGAGTAAGTTAGATGACCCGTCACTAGTCAGATGTCACACACTAATCCTACTGTAGTTTCAATAAGCCACCCAGCCAACCAAGAAATTACATCTATATGCTCATACTTTTAGTTTGCATCAGCAAATAAGTTTTGAGGGAAACTTGACGCTGACCGGATTATGTTGATGTTTCATAGCATAATGTTAATTAAATCCAGCATAGTTTTATTATTTCTATTTTTCAACACAATATCCCATCCTGCAATATAATATTTGCAGCTGGTGAATTATGCATTATTAAACTTTTTATGGTTATATCTAACCACTCACTCACTCATCAACCCTGCAGCAGATAAATATGCAGTCAGAAATTTGCTCATCATCCATTATGGAAGTCTGACCAAAAGTTGTATGATCTACATATCTTCAAGTGTTGGACTGATGCACCAACATCACCATCCTTACTTCCTGTTGTTCTCAGACTAAAAAGATTTAAAAAAATAAATAAATAAATTTGACTGCAGAACTACTTCTTCCCTCTCCTCTGCAGTGTGACAGTGTTGCTAGCCAGCTCCGACTCTGCAGCAGCTTTTTGTGCCTCTGGGTGAAGAGTCTTAATGGAGGCCGACTACAGCTGCTGTCAGAGAGCTGCAGGGATCTGATTCACTCTAAAAAGACCCTCCAGGCGTCTGCTACAGCACCCTCCACAAACTCTTCACATCCAATCAGTTTTTTCACATAACAAACTGAAACTCTGCAGACTCAAGTGTCACTTCCACACAGTCTGCTGCTGATTCTCACAGCCAGAAAAGAC